ATCACAAAATAAGTGGTGTTTTGTGCCAGGATGCCTCAATAAGTGCTCCAAACAAACTCTTTCTAACCGTTTAACCAGGTTAAGTAGAATAAGTGAAATTCTATATATTATTTATCTAATTTAAACCAACACAGACAGATTAGTATATTAAGGAGAGAGTAACTAATAATGAATTTACGGATTTTTGCTGACGCTGCTGTTGAGACCCTTAAATTGGGCTAAATTAAAGCGTTCGTGGTTTTTTAAAAATACGGTAACCATAAAATTATGTACACATGGTAAATTGTTTGTTGACGCTTTAAGGAATCCTTCTGAAGCCATTTATTAGTTTAACACAAACTATAAATGATTTAAATCCACAAAATAATTATAGAAACACAACTACACAACTAAACGCTAAGCACAGAACGTAAACAATCCGCCATTTATATGACCAGAGACGTCACAATCAATAGGATTACGTAATTTTAGCTGAATTTGTTTATTAAATATTTAACAAAATAGCAATAGATAGATGGTATAAACTTATTTAACCTTTCACATATATATATATAGATATATTACCATAGATTTTCGATACAAAGAAAACAGCCTATTGTTGAATTTCAATGGAAAATGCGCCCTTTCAGGTTCAACACACTGAGCAGGTTTTTGAGGACAGAACCCGCACGGAATCAGAAGTACCGGCAGTGAGAATATCCTTAAGCAATGACATAGAAAAAAGTCCTTCATCCGGTAGAAGCATGACGAAAATGGACTCATTGAAAGTGGCCTCTACTATTGAGTCAGTTTCGAGCTCCGAAGGCAGTTCGTGCCCATCCCCAACAGGGTAAGGGGGAATTGTGATTTAATTGAACTCACCCTGTACAATTTCCTTGCTCAATCGCCCTGTAGACAAGGCACTTTCAGCCGATTCGGTCAGGTCCAGGATGATTTTCCAGTTTTTCGATTTAGGTCAGTGGTGACCGCCCGTCTAGTGAACATTTCCCCAATCCCGGATATTCGGCGGGATTCCGTCGCCACTATGGGGAACGAGGATCCCGATTTGCTGACGTTGCCCGTTCCGCCCGACTTTGCCGACAGCAGGAGGTCGAGCAGGATCCAACAGTGGTAAGTTTCAATCGGCAATTCACTCATTCATTCCCACCCAAATGGTTTTTAGATGTGAATGTGAAAGAAGTTTAAAAGCAACAACCCAGAGCGACAGACCACCAACTCTGGGAGTACATAAAAGAGCATTTCCCAAACCTCACCGGAAAAAAAAAACTTTGAAAATTAATTTTCAGTGCGGGCAAACTGGCTCTGAATTTTGCTCCCTTTGTTCTTCACTTAATAAATAATGAATCACTTTGAACTACGCCCGATTCCAGAGTTCGTTGCAATTCAGGTCGCGGCCTCATGACCCAAATTTATGATGGTTTCACTTCATTATGGATGCGAGAATCTCTGCCTGTACGAGAATTTAGTTAATTGCCTGTGCAAAAGAAAAGACTCAATTTTAGCCTCATTTCTACTGATTAAATTTTGTGCCCGTTTGCTCTAAGCCGGCAGTTTTCACGCTGTGCGGCGCTGTGTTTTCCTTAGGAATTTAGTAGTTTTATTGCTTGGTTCTAAGACGTTCTAACATCAAAACACTGTTTGCAGTGGCGTTGAGGATCAATTCCAAACGGAAAAAATCCTTCTCGAAACAGCCTCAACCCTGGTAACAATAGAAAAATTGCAACTATCGACTGAAGACCTGGAGAAAAAGGAGGTGGAGAAACAGCGAAGAGACTCGAAGCCGGACCAGGACGATCGAAGCAATTTCGATGATGAAAAGGTGAGCCGAAACGGGCAACAATGGGCAAGAAATAAAGATCAGCAGGGGCATTTCCCGTTCAAATATCTCTTTATAGGTGAAACCGGCGATTTTTCATTGCGAAATTCCCAGCGCACAACGTTCCATTTAATTGAATTCTCCATGCCATTGCGTCACGTGGAAAGCCTCCATTTAATTAGGCTGAGAATTGAGGGCCGTTGGTCGTTGATTCCTCGAATCTCTGTTCAGAAACAGCCGCGAAACGGCATTCATTAATACATTAGCGCGCATTTAGAAGCCCCAGGGAATGTTCTCGGATGTCTGGAAATCGGTCGTTTTTTCGGATCCAGCTTTAAATTCAGGGGGGGGGGGTTATGAAGAAAAATACAGTCTTTTGTTGTCTATGAAATTAAAAAAATTATCGTCGTTTGGTGCCAGGGTGGCGTAAGATTATTGCAAAATTCCATGTTTTCCGTCCCGTTTTGCATGTTTCTCGGAAGCAAAATGAGCAAGAACGCTCGTTTTTACATCATTCCAGAGAGAACTAAATGGCCTTTTTAGAAAGTGAACCATGGATGGGGAAATGTCGGCAGTTTTCTCAAAAAATGCTTGAATTCAAGAAGTTTTAGATTTGCGTGGTTTTTTTTTGAGTTGCAAAATCCACTTGAACATGACGCTGCTTTTTTCGAAGTTTCTCAAGAATAATTCGAGCCAGAGAATTCGTTTTGGCATCGGTTTTCTCAAAAAATGCTTGAATTCAAGAGGTTTTAAATTTGCGTGGTTTTTTTTGAGTTGCAAAATCCACTTGAACATGACGTTGCTTTTTTCGAAGTTTCTCAAGAACCATTGGGGCCACAGAATTCGTTTTGGCATCGTTGGATAGAGAATTGAAAAGTCGATTCTGTCGTAACAACATAAGTGAGGAAATTCGAGTAGTTTTGACCCAGAAATCGAAATTTGAATATTAGACACTTAGGTGCAAGATTATGCCAAACTTTCATGT